CAGCAGCGGCAGCAGCAGCAGTCGTCATGGTGTTCGTAGTCGTAGACGCAGTGGTAGTAGTGGTGGTCATAATTTTAGTAGCAGTTTTTGTGGTTGCGTTCTTGTTGACATCAATATTACCACTAAGCGTTTACCATGATTACCATAACGGTAACCGTTGCTATTAGCAGCGCTACCGCCAATACTTGCTGCCACGACGACTGTTGCCTAGCGACAGGTTGTGTGATGCTGACACTGGCATTGCTTGGAATGGAATGCTTCGCTCTTGGCGTGCGTGAATGTGCATCCATCCACTAGGTGGAGAGTATGTTTGTCAAGTCTCGCAGCTTAGGAAGGCGGGGCTGTTCCCCCTCTATGGCGCCGGGCTTGGCAAGCTTGCCTTGCAAGGCTGTACAGCAGCATCATCGACACCAGCCATAGAACGAGCCTCACTCTGCAGATGTCAAGGCGAACAGGAGTTTGCTCAGATGTCTTCGCTTGGGGCGACTTGCTCGATCGACACGCCGCTGCAGTACAAGGTCCGGTGGGGAGAGATTTGGCGATGATATCCACGATTCTGCAATGTGTCGTTCTGTAGCATCTGCCCTTACATGTCAAGGCACCGAAGGCATGCGCCTCAACGACCGGAAGTTGCGGTGCTTGTCTACAGACAGTAGTTTTGCCGTGATCCCGAGTGGATCGCTTGATATCGCTGGCTCGGTCATTCTGGCCTTCTTTAGGGCTGAACTGTTTGCGTAGGACAGGCACAGAGCAAACGCATGAAATTGGCTAGGCTCGGACACAGCCTTGATTTGAGACTGAAGCGAGAGCTTTACCTGTGCCATTTGCAAGGGCGAGGCTGGAATCGGGTTTGGCACATTTTGGAACTTTACACAAGCGCTTTGAGACTTGGACAACTTGCAGCCACTCAGCAGCTGCGATCTGACACTCTTTGCACGTTGTCGCCCAGTCCTGGCCTCGAGTATGTTTCCTATGGCGAAACGCGCCACTGCCTCGGACTGCCCAGAGCTCTGGATTCGGGAGACATGCGACGGTACGGAAAGCCCGCACAGACAAGATTGCCATTCGCAGCCGCACTGGCGTGCCTAATCGACTGCATACTGTGCAAAAGCTTCCGCTTTCTCTTCGCTCTCAGGGAGATATTCCCGCCAGCGTCGTGCCCTTGGTTCCTCTCGCTTTGGACAGGCTCACTCATGGCATGTGCGTGGACGGCCTGCGAATAGATTAACTTAAGTGCGGTGACCGGCTTCAGCATGACTTCACCGCCAAGGGGGCTCTGCCCAGCAAACAAGGAAACTCCGACGCTCATCAGCTGGGTCTTCGATCCTGTGGGTGCAGAGCCCAGTGCTGTCCAAGTGCAAACCAGAGTGTCATGTCGTGTTAGCATGTAAACAGTATGCATACGAAGCACGGCAACCACACGTGCGGTGTCAGCTAGTTGCATGACTTTCTTGCACCGTTGCACCTTGATGAAACGAGCTGCAGATGAAGCGACGGTCGATTGCCAGAGCTTCACGATGGAGTATGTCGGTCCCGGCCTCGGTGGTCATCCCAGCTCAAAGGCTTTGCAGGTGTCGGAAGCCCAAGCAACACAGACAACGAAGGCCGTTTACAAACACAATCAAACATCTCAAGAGTCCTGACCTTGAAGCCTGACCTTGAAGCCGAATCTTCGGTGCACCGAGCCCGGGAGCCCGGGAAGCGGTCAAGACTCTTGCAGGAAAGAGCAGTGTCTGCAGGTCAGCTTGTGGAGGCTGGCATAGCCTAAATCTATGCTGCATACCGCAATATACCGCATACCTGGCATACCTCCAAGCATTCTATCCAGTGAGGTTCGAGCCTCCAGTGCAACCTGACCAACACGTCCCGGGTATGGCAGCCCCCAGCGACTTTGCCGTGAGCCAAGAAGCGATGACGGTATGGAACCGAACGATGCTGAATGGCCACGGCTGCACACGGGTCATGGTGCCAATGTCGCACAAGCATGGCACCTTGAAGACCCCCCTCCGCCTGAAGCTTTGCCCACTCGAGATCCTTTCCTTAGCCACTGACATTATGAACACGACGTGGTTATTCAGGCTGAACACCTACGACGACTGTGCCCGGATGTGCGAGAACGACCAGGCCAGTGGACTGTTTTAGTTTGGGTTTGGGTTCCAAGGTAATTGTTCCGAGGTGGGGGACAGGTCCAGAGCTTTTCTCGGTTGAGATGTTGCGATGGAGGTAGAATCTTGCATGTGGGCCGCTGCGCAGGAATGCATGGCGGCGATGTTCCATGTGGACGATCCGGCAGGCCCTGGCCCTTTAGGATCCGACTCTCGGCGACTCGACGCTGTAAAGGCCGATGTCAAGAAGTTGCTTTCCTGCGAGGCGGCCAGGAGTGTGGACCGGACAGCAGGTGGGGCGGCAGTGCCCTGCTTGTGGGCGAGGACAATGCTTTGGCACTGTCGCATTCTTTTCGAGGCTTTGCTCTGCTCACTGTCAGCTGGTTGATGGCTGTGACACCATGCGGGGAACCTCGGACTGTTTGTAAATATGCGCACTGGTGACGCCAGTGTGTCCGTCATACGGCTGCTTCTGACCCTCGCATGTCTCTGCTCAGCTGCGGTGCATTTCGCATGAGGGTCTCTGGTGTTCTCCAGCAAAGTCTGCCCTGCTTAGCCCCAGCAGTTTTGGTTGCGATTCTGGATGATTATATCGCACATCCATCATTCGTAGATGATGTTTGGCCTGCATCCAGGGAAATCCAATGCTTCTTGAGTTTTCCACTCTCATGTTTTTTCGTTCCGATCCGACATCAGTCAGGCCCATGGAGGGCGGTGTGTCCGCGGACCAATACCACATAGGCCGACCGTGCTGTGTGTTGCTCACCTTGGACTCTGTCAGAGAATGTGCAGATTTCATTGCAATACGTTTCATTGATTCGAAAGATCTCGAAAGGCCGGAAGATCCAAAAGGAGGCTTCCGAGCTGCCTGGGAACAGCATCTGCACGGAGGCAGCGGCTGCAGTTCAGGGTCTCGACCAGGTGCTGCTGCCTGCTGTGTCATTTCCACATGCAGCATGAGACCACAAGCTCGCGCTCGCGCAGCGCGTGCACAGAAGGCATGGCACGACGCGGCACCACGCCTCACCACGCCGCTCCACGCCATGCTATGGCACGGCGCGCCACCGAACGGAGTGGCACAACCACCAGCTTCGCAGGTGGACAGACCCATGCCAGTCCATGCATATGATGCCGGAGGCGGGCACACAAAACCGACATGTTGAGAATGATGAATGTTGTGAAGGAAGAGCGGTTTGAGGAGGGTGTCTTGTTAAAGCGCTGAGCTTCTAGACATTCCGTCCAATGTCTGTCAAGGTGTCACCATCGTGCAATTCGACTCGCCTGTGGAGCCTCCAGCAGGAGTCACACTCAATCAGGCCGGGTTATGAGTCCCTCAAGCGATGCTACTCAGTCGCGACTCCGAGAATGTTGCAAGGCATTCTTTTGCAGCCACATCCTCTGGGAGACCTCCCAAGTCCGTGCCTCGAGGAATCCGTTGAGGTGACGTGTGAAGCGAAGCCTCTGATTGGAGCAGACCAACACTTGCTACGTGTAGGGCAAACCAGTTGTTTGTCTGTCGCAGTTCACGGGAAGGCACTTCGTGTCGGACCCATCATGAGCGGTGCAGACAGTGGAGTCTGACACCATTCCCGGTTTCTTCTCGCCCGACTCCTTGAGTCCTTGTCGTTTGGAGCAGGTCGCTGTAGGCGGCGTTGGGGCCGCCTGCCGGTGGGTTACCAGCACGGTGCGCTCCCCGACCTTCGTGAATGAAGCACTCGATCTCGAAACTTTAGAGACGAGCATCAAGTGCTCCCAGGTGCTCCACATCGAGCTTGGTCCATCTGCAGGGTGCTTGGGTTGACACATCCGTCGAAGCGCGACCATGGTCCTTGGCAACTCCGCCGTTGCTGATGTTGCTTCAATCTGCAACAGCGTGTGTGTGTGTGTGTCTATATATATATATATGTATATATATATATACATATATACATACATACATATCGACAATTCAAAGCTCAAGTCTGGTCTAGCGTGCGACTGTGTCACATGGCAATCAAAACTATGTCCCCTTTAGCAGCTTTAGCAGACCAGGATGAAACAGCGTGCGTCATACGCTGTCATGTTCGCTGGGGTGCGATTGGCTGCTTCGTCTGCTTCCCTCCGTTGCACTTCCTTCTTCCGACAGGCGCTTTCGCCCCTTGCTACCCTGGTCGGCATCTCTGCTCTGCCTCGCGCAGGGTCAGAGTCCTTCCGGTCCTGTCGGCATTGCATGTAACTCATGCGAGGCATTCGCAGATGCATGTGCCACTTCGTCGTCTGCCGGCCTGGGGGCTTTGTCCTGCTTCCGCTCTTGGGGAAATTGTCCTGCTTCTGCTGTTTCCTTGGTTGCCAGCCCGGGCCAACTCCACGAATTCATTGCCACCTGGGTGTTCCTCGCCCGAATAACCCCAGTCCTCCTACTGGATCGTCCGCCGGGGCACTATATACGCCTTAATTGTCTCTTGCATCGCGACAACGCCTCTGCCGATTCCGTCTTTTGGGAGATTCCGTCTGCCGCGTCCTGCGCGCAGCTGTGTGTACGTTGTTCACGTTTGCCTGCCGTTTACATGATGTCGGAGATGCATATTGCACAAGTCTATTGACCCAGACGCTCTGGGCTTCAAGCTCCCCGCAAATACCGGCACTGACTTCCGGTCCGCTGACCTGCTTCTAAAGCTGCGCTGCCAAAGCATGTCTTCAAATCTAATTTCTCCCGATGTCCGTTCTACTGCTTGCACTTCATCCGCCCACGTAAGTCGCAGCCCAATAGCTGAATTGAAGGCAGTTGACAGTGCACAGAAGGTTGGATGGATGGGAAGGGTCTCTGTGCATTTATAATAAAACCTGCATCACCGTAGCCATAGCGGCTCTGATGCAGGCTGATTCGCTCCTTTGCTCTTTCTCTGACCAGCCATGGCCTTGCCGTCTGTTTTTCATTCGATTCTGAATCAGGCTGGTCTGGAGAGATTAGAGGAGCTGGGAGTGGAATCTACTTCTGATCTGGCAAACATCTTTTCTTCTGAAAGAGACATTTTTGATGTTTCAGCTGATGCCGGTGTCGTGCAAGCGATTACTCAAGCTTGGCACATGGCACGTGTGATGGAAAATGTCAGATTGGAGCAGATGCCTGCTTATTCTCATCGAAGGTCGGAGCCTACCGCGCTTGATTGCCCAGGTGTGCAGAGTGGGGCGGGGCTTCGCCCGAAGATGCGTTGTAGACCACCCGCGCAGCTTTTGCCGAAGCCTTTCAGAGCAGGTTATGCGGCTCCGCCTTTGAGGGGCTTGGCACCTATTCCTGATAAAAGATTGGCTGCGTTGAAAGTTATTCTTGAAGTGGTTTTGGCTTCAGGTTCAGAGAATACACAGTTTGGTCCCGAACTTCGTGCCAATGCTGCGGATGCCTTTGAGTTGTTTGCAGCTCGCTTTAGGAATGTGGTTGATGCTAGATTGCAGTCGCACGTTGGAGCATTCAAGCGTTGGGTCAAGTGGCACAGCGCACATGTACCTTCGGATATCGTGTATTGGAAGCCTTCGGCGTTCTGGGTTGCTCGTTACTTGGCCGATGTTAGCAAAGGCGGTCCTACAGCATCTTGCCATGCCTTTGCTTCGCTTAAATGGTGGAGCTCCGTGGTGGGCTTACCTTTGCCGATGGCTGATGGCTTAGTGCTTGCATGGGCTAGCCCGACAGCTGAGCATGTGGTGCAACCTAGAACGCCGCTTTCACTTGGCATTTTCTGGGCTATGCTGCGAGCTTGGAAGTCTGCATCAGGTACCGTGGCATCCTTCTTAACGTGGACTCTCTTGTTGCTCATAGCCTGCCTGCGTTTTGAGCATTCCAGGCGGTCGCATTCGCTTAGGCTGCAAGATGGTTTTATCCGGGCCACGTGTGCACAAGGTAAGAGGCGAGTGCAAGGGAGGAGGCCACCTTTTGATTGGGCCATCCCAGCTCGCATCACGCAGACCATCGACTTGTCGAGCCAGCTTTTCTTAGACTGGGCTGAGTTACAAGAGCAGTTAGGCAAGCCTCCTACTTTCATTGTGCAGGACCTTGATATCGCGCGAGGTCAGCCGCTGTCTAGCGCGGCACAGAAGATTGCTAGGCCCATGACGTTGCCGAAGTTTAACTGTTTGCTTAGGTCGGTTGCTAAGGGTCTAGGTGCTAGTGACGACGAGACATCAAAAGTTTCATCATACAGCCTCAGGCGTTTCATGCCAACTGCGGCCGATGTGATGCAATTTCAGCCGCATGAATGCCAGGCCATAGGTAATTGGGTTGAGCTTCCGCAGACGGATGTGTCATCAGGAAGCCGTTCCCTTCCGGTGGTGGGCATGGCAAAGCATTACGCACATGACAAAACTAGCACCGCAGCCTTCGTCAAGCAGCAACTCGTCGCAGCTTTGCATCAGGCTATGTTAAAGTCAGGTCAGCCGACACAATGCTCGTGGCATGATGTGAGGTTGCATGCACCGTCCAGGGAGGCCATTCTTCAGCACTTGCAGTCTGCAGAAGTGAAGATTACACCACCGGTTGTTCCCAAAGAGGTGGTGGCCTCTCCTTCATCGAGTGGGGCTTCGAGCTCTTCAAGTGAATCGGACGAGGACTATGAAAAGACAGCTTCGGAGTTGCCTTGGTTTGCACAGACTGCCTCAGGGAAGAAGCACTTAGTGCAATCCCAGCAAGGATCGCAGTTCATTCCGTGGTGTCGCGATTCCATCTTTAGTGCTCTGCATGTGCATAGAGGTGTGGGGCTGGATGATGCGGATGAGGTTTGTCAGAAGTGCTGGGCCAGGGCACCGATTGCGTGGCGCGACGCACTCAGAACGGAGAGTTAAAACTTGTGAGCCTGTACTGTGCCTGCTGGTGTTGCTTGACCTTTTCGCTGAGCGTAATGCTGGGTAGCTGTTGAGCTTTATCCTGGTGAGCCCTCAGTCCTCGCAATCATGTCGGGAAACGGTGAGCGCCCTTGGCCGTGCTCGACGGATCAGCTTAAGCAGGTTTTGCAGGCCATGCCGGTGGAGTTGCGGTCCTTGGTTCTGCGGCTGCTGCTGGAGATTGAGAGCGAGGCGAGGTCTACTGAGTCGCCGGGAGTTTCTTTTACGGAACCACCGGCTGATCCGATGCAAGCTGCTCCATCTTCATCGGCTTCGGGGGGGTCGATTCCTGATCCACCGGCTGTGCCACCTGGTGATGGTCGCTTGCGCCGCCCAGGCTATCGCTGTGGAGTCCCATGTGAGCAGTGCTTTGAGGGTACGTGCAATAGGGGCAAGCCTTTTCACTCCCATCACAATTGCCTTCGCTGCCATAAGGGCGAGGACCGGGCATGATTATGTGACTTGCGGAGGGCGGCTATAATAGTCCGTGTACTCTTCCTGGGCTTTGCCTCCTGGCCTTGTGCTTGGGCTTAGAGCCTTCGTGGAAGCAGCGCGGTGAGAGGGCATTTTGCTCGAGGTGCAGGGTGAGTGCGGTAGGAGTGCTGTGGGCCATGGCTAAATCGAATGAGTTTCGGAGATGCCCTGAAGATCAGAAGTTGCCTGAGCCATTGATTGCATGGTGTGAATCGACGCTGGGAATAGAGACGCTTAGTGACTTTTGCAACATCGTGACGGTGAATGGCTATGAGTCCGAGCTTGATGTTGTCATCTTGTCAGCGTGCGAGGACACCAAAGCTGCACCGAACAAGGCCTTGTTGCTTGCCAGGTTGCGTGCAGCATGGCGTGCGGCTAGAGCATCTATCCTTAAGGTTGAGGCCCGCCAGAAAACCGGACAACCTGTCGATGACCTCGATGACCCGCTGGACCCGGCGACGCAAGAGAGCCTTCTGGATGCGTGGCGGAAACGCTACAATCTGGAGCTACCGGTGCACATGGCTCCGAGTGACACGTTGCTGGGTAGAGTCTGGCGCGAGATGCAGAGAGGCACGGTGACGGTCATTGGCATTGATAAAGTCCGTAGTCTATTCGCGGCCAACAGACCTCAAAAGGACAGATTCCTGGACTTGGGTTCGGCGAAGCTTCAACTTAGGCCAGATGAGGAAGCCAGAGCAGCACAGTCAGTGGCCGAATATTATCAACGTCTGCGAGTGTTGTGCAATGCATACACAATTGCCGGGACGTTCAAGGTGGATTCGAAGCAGACCCCGGGCACCAAGGTGTTCATGGCCCCACTGGGGGTCCTCCTGGATTACTGCGATGCGGTGCTTCGTCATGCCACAGATTCCAACGCTACCATTGAGTGGTTGAAGATTCGGGATGAACAGTGCAGAGCCCGAATGGTGGAGTTGGCTAGGCAACAGTGGCCCTTGGGCGAAGCATTCTTCAAGGCCTGCCAGGAGCAAGAGCTCATGTGGCAGCAACCTCCGTCACGAAAACGTGTGGATCCTGAGTTGCATGCTGCTTCGGACTCTCCCCCATCATCCAAGAAGGCCAAGACAGCTAAGGAGCACAGAGGCCGCTCATTCTGCAAGCGCTGGAATGACCAGCGGGATGCACCAAAGAGGATTGTCAGGACATTCATGCGTGTGACATCCTTTTGGCAAATGGTCGTCCATGCAACAACCCGAATCACACCAGGCTGACGTGCCCTAATCGCGAGGGGCAGGCCCCCTTGAGCCAAGGGGGACCCGCTTGGTTCAAGGTGAGGCCGCCAGACCGAGCATAGGATGTCGCAGCGCACAGGCAGTGGAGATGACGGGTCAGTTGCAGTTGGCATATCGTTCATGGCGGCGCCACAACCTCGCTTGGCTGCCATAGCCAAATCCTTGGCGAAAGCGCGGCATGTGCAACTTGTGGCTGCAGACAATGGGGCAACGACTATGGGCATGTATAACCAGTCAGCTGCACGGGATGTGAAACCAATGGAGTGTGCATGGCCGTGCCCATCTCAGGTGGAGGCATTGATACCTACAGAGTGGGTGTACTACTGTGGGGTTTCGCCACTGCCGCAGACGCATTGGTCGCTACACGATAAGGGTCCCATCTTCGTGATTTCATTGTTCGATGGGATTGGAGCGGCCTTTGTAGCACTGCTAGCGCTGGGAGTCACCTTCCGGGCGGTGGCAGTGGAGATGGATCCAGTTGCCACAGGAGTTTGTGCAGCAAGTTTTCGTAATGTTGCGCATTTTCCCGATGCTAGATCGTTCACTGCTGCATGCCTGAGGCAAGAGTTCCAGACACATGCATATGCGGCGGTTCTCGTGTTAGGAGGTTCGCCTTGCCAGGACATCAGCCGGCTGAATCGCAGCAGGAAAGGTTTGAATGCACCCAGGACGCAGCTGTTTGCAGAGATCCCGCGAGTAGCTCAGGAATGCAGGGATTTGTTGGCATCATTGAACACTCCCATTCCAGTCTTGCAGCTGTTGGAGAATGTGGCACATGGCCCAACAGAGGTCATGACAGAGTTTTGTGCGGCCATGCAAAGCCGCCCACTCATCGTGCATGGGTCATCTTTTGGTTGGGTTCGGCGGACCCGCATGTTTTGGGGAGGTGATGGGCACGCCGCAATGTCGCATGATGTGCAGAGTGCCCTTCCCAAGGACATTGCCGGAGCTCTGAGTGAAGACGACCTCATGCATTTGAGGTGGGTCGGTAAGAAGCCGTGGCCAGCGAGAGTGTTCTTTCAGGATGGCTTCAAAACCTGCTTTCAGCCACAGGCCAACATCGGAACCACGACGGACCATGTGGGCTTTGCTACCTTCACACGGTCGTTTGAGCATCCGAGGCTACCAGATGTAGCAGCGTCAGATGAGGCGCGCAGGCGTTACCAAGAAGGTGAGAGGGCCTACCCAGCATTTGCATACGAGGATGCATCATTGTTGTGGAAAGGCCGCGAATGGAGACAGCCAAATGCTCAGGAGCGAGCCACGTTGATGGGCATCCCGAGCTCCATCTTGCAGTGGGCAGCACCTGAGGAGGAGGATGTCCAGCACAGAGAGCGAGTTAGGGCTTCGCTCATAGGCAATTCCTTTCATGTTCCGTCGTTGATGGTGGTCTTGATGATACTGCTGCAAATGATTCCTGTAGTTTCGGGCATCCCTCCTCCGATGTACTCAGCGTTCGAGACGTGCTTGTGTACCCAAGTGAAGGGATCTGTGTTCCAGCCAGGTGTCGTTGACACGTGTCCAGGTCTCTTGACGTCCAGCAGCAGTTTGTGTCTCTTGATGTCCAGTGGCCCGTGTTGCAAGTAGACGATAAGGTCAGAGCAGCCGTGCGGAAATTGCAGATTTTCAAAGCTGATTGTATTTTAAGAAATGCAGAATCTGACTTTGGAGCGCCACAATGGAGGCAGCAGAACCATCGCGCATTGGCAGCCTCCGCCTTGGGTGCGCAAAGAGGCGGCCCGCTGTCTAAGATTGCATGTCAGCCGTTGATTCCGGAGAAGGTTGACAAGGCTACACATATGGCCTTAGGTACTTGCCTCCCTTCTCCGTACGATACCCATGCGGTCCTAGATCCGGATGCGAGTTTTGCAGTGCGAGTCATGGTGGCCTTTGGCCCATGCATTCGGACGTGGCGGCGGCTGCAGCAGCGAGCGATCCGTACAGTTCACAAGTTCTTGTCACCGTGGGATGCTGCCTTGCGGAATCTGATGCCTGAACCTGTTTTCAAGGTCGCATCGGATAAGTGCCCGGCTATGATGACAGCAACTGCAGTGTTGTTGGACTGGCCGGACCTAACGCTTGGGCTTAGGTTTTTTACGGGGTTTCGGTTGTTAGGCCAAATTGAATCCCCTAACATTTTCCGCCCTGTCCCGCCTGCCACACCCGACCCGCCTGATTTGAAAAAGGAGTTTTTGCAGCGTGCACCAGCAGCTATCTGCAAACTGGAGGCGTTTTTGCCCCAGGCGGAATACACGCAAGAACTTCTTGATCATACGGTGAAAGAGATAGAGAAAGGTTGGGCAGATGGCCTGTTTACCAGGCAAGAGCTGGATGAAGCCTTTGGTCATTCCTGTTGGTTGCCGATGCAGCGCTTCATGCATGTCCAGGCCTGTGGAAAGCAAAGGCCCATCGATAATGGGCGGAGTAATGGCCATAACGCCTTGTCCTGGATGCTTGAAACAATCTGCACAAACACGCCTGACTTTGCAGCTGCAGCATGTAGAGCCCTCATGGATTTGCTGCATAAGTCCTTTGACGTGTGTCCTGCGTGGGCTCAGGTTGTCTTCGGCACCGAGGACATGGATCACGCCTACAGGCAAATGCCTAACATGCCTGAGGAAGCTCCAGGCCTGGTTGTCGGCATTTGGCATCCAACTGAGCAGATTGTCAAGTATGCAGTCATGCGAGCCCATCCGTTCGGTTTGGCTAGCGCTGTCTTGAATTTCTGTCGATTACCTACGTTGGCCACAGCGGCTACTCGACAGTGGACAGGCACAGCCACAGCGGGGTACTTTGATGATAGTGGGATTTTAGATGCGGTTTCTGCTAGAGGCTCGGGCCAGGAATCGCTGCATACAGTCTATGGGGCGCTGGGAGTGACTTTGGATGCTCCCAAGAGACAGCCTATGTCGACGCAGCGCACATTCCTAGGCGTCTTGCTTAATTTGGCAGGAATGAACGAAACTGCCACTATGTTCATTGATGTGAAACCAGGCTTGCGCGAGACTTTGATGGAGGAGCTTGACACGATCTTGTCACAGAACCATTTGTCTTCGGGGCAAGCATCCAAGCTCAGGGGCAAGTTTCAGTGGGCTAGTTCCGCTATGTACGGGAGGTGTGCACGTGGCGGACAAGGGCCGCTTGTGCGTAGGCAGTACGAGGCTACAGACGACATCACACCTGAGCTTGCTAGGAGCCTCAAGTTTATGCGAGCTCTTTTAGATGTCGTAGGTCCCCGGAAAATCTGCCTTAGCCCTAATCCCCGCCCTCCCGTTGTCATTTACACGGATGCTAGTTGGGAGCCTCAAGATATGCAGGCGCCAGGATTGGGACTTGTCTTGCTTAGTCCTGATGCCCAGACACAAGGCATTGCTTGTACGATCCCAAAGCTGGTTTTGGAGGCCTTCCAGGAGCGTGAGACGCAAATTACGCCACTTGAAGCCCTGGCTGTACTCCAAGCCTCTGTGGTCTTTGCAGATCACATGGAGCAGAGAGATATTATATGGTTTTGCGATAACCAAGTTGTGTGTTCCGCTTTGGTCCGGGGCAGCTGTGCATCAGATGATATTGCTTCAATCGTTGTACTCTGCCACTTACTCTGGGCAAGCGTGTCTGCCAGAGTGTGGGTTGAATGGGTGCCGTCAGAGGCGAATGTGTCGGATGGCTTGTCGCGTGGTGGCACAGCTGACGACTGGACACGTCAGCAGGACTGGCTTCTAGGCACGACACCTTGCCTCCCGTGGCACTTGATCCACACTGAGCCACTGCTGTCAGCTGTGAAGACCCTCAAACATTGGGACAGAGGAGTGCATTGGGTTAACCAGGGGACATCTGATGAATGTCAGGTGTTCGCTGGGTCTGCAGTGGACCCACCTTTGTCCAATGATCCAGGGTCCTACAGACTACAGCAGTGAGCTGCGTGGAAAAAGAGGCGTCTGAGCTGTGAATCAGTGAGCTCATTATGACAGTGCACAGAAGGTTGGATGGATGGGAAGGGTCTCTGTGCATTTATAATGAAACCTGCATCACCGTAGCCATAGCGGCTCTGATGCAGGCTGATTCGCTCCTTTGCTCTTTCCCACCCGGCCCTCCCAAAGAGGTTTCTCATGGAGACGAGTGGTTTGAGCTTAGTTGATAGGGTTAACCAGGGGACATCTGATGAATGTCAGGTGTTCGCTGGGTCTGCAGTGGACCCACCTTTGTCCAATGATCCAGGGTCCTACAGACTACAGCAGTGAGCTGCGTGGAAAAAGAGGCGTCTGAGCTGTGAATCAGTGAGCTCATTATGACAGTGCACAGAAGGTTGGATGGATGGGAAGGGTCTCTGTGCATTTATAATGAAACCTGCATCACCGTAGCCATAGCGGCT